TTGCTTCCCATTTTCTCTTCAGTCAGCTTCAGTGAGAGTTCTTTCCCACTTCTCTGACACTGTTTTTGTGTATGTCACCAATGGTCTGCCTATTGCCAAACATTCCTCATCTTACTTTCCTTTTCAGCAAAATTCAATACACAGGAAAATTGCCTTGATGTTGAATTGCTTTCTTTTCTGTTTTTCTCATTGTTTGTTTCCTTTTTTATGTGTGTGATACCATGTTTTTCTCCAGCTTTAATGTCCACTTTTCAATATCCTTTGATGGTTTATCTTCTTCTTACATCACTAAATGTTAGTGTCTCTCTTATTAGGTCCATTCTCCTACTGAATGATATTATCAAGTCCCATTGTTTCAAATACCATCTATACTGATTAGTTCTGCCTTAACCTCCAGGATCAGCTTTCTACTTGATAATTCCACTTGGATATCAAATAGGATACTAAAAATTAGCATGCTGAATACTGTAAACTTTTTTGCTGGTTAATTTCAAGAAATCAGACTAATCATACAACAATTCACTCAGCTGCTCAAATCAAAACTACAGATTTTTTTCCCCTTCTTCCATCATTGCCAAGTCCTTTTAAGTCCAAACCAAAATATTTTCCACATACTTCAAATTCTCATCCTCTTCACCTCTATCATTTTAGCAAATTCACCAAGACCCCTCATCTGTAATATAGCAAAAGCCTCCTAATTATTGATTTTTTAATTTGCTTACTTGTTTGTTTTGTTGTGGTATAATTTATGAACCATAGAATTTATCCATTTTAGATGTACAATTTGAAGAGTTTCAGTAAATCTATACAGCTGTGAAACTATCATACCAAACTGATTTTAAGGCTTCCATCACATAAAAATATTCCCTGATGGTGGTTTGTCAGTCCTGGGCCTGTCTCTAGCTCCAGGAAAGCACTGATATACTTTCTGTCTGTATANTTCAGTAAATCTATACAGCTGTGAAACTATCATACCAAACTGATTTTAAGGCTTCCATCACATAAAAATATTCCCTGATGGTGGTTTGTCAGTCCTGGGCCTGTCTCTAGCTCCAGGAAAGCACTGATATACTTTCTGTCTGTATAATTTGCCTTTACTAGAAATTTCATGTAAATGGAGTCATATTCTTTATTCTTTATGTCTATCTTCTTTCACTTAATGCAATGTTATGAGTCTTGTTCCTATTGCTGGATACATTCATAATTCATTCCTTTTCTTTAATGGACAGTATGTCACTGTGCAGATAAAGCATATTTATTTAACCAGTCACTAGTTGATATATATTTGGATTGTTTACAGCATTTGACTATTATAATAATGCCACTACAAACATTAATGGACAGTCTTTGTGCTGGCATGTTTGGGCACATATCAGAAATAGAAATTACTGGATGGTGACAGGTGTTTGTCTAATTTTGAAGATGTCAAACTGTTTACCAGTGTGCTGAACCGTTTTACACTCACATCAACCAGTTTTCAAATCCCACTTTATTTTCACTTTCCAGAAGAATCTTTGGCTGCCAACTTACATTTTTCCTTGATGAAACAGAAAGATACATCTGGACATCTGAGAAGCTCCAAGACTCAGTAAGTCTCCCGGTGTGGACCCGGGCCAACTTCTCTTTTGAACACAAAGTGTTATTTGGGCATTTTGTCAGTTGGTTCTGATGTGTATCTGACATCAAGGACCATCTGTGAGCATGGAGTACTATCTGGACATTTTTGCCAATTGATCTGGTGTGTCTACCATGGAGGAGTCAGTTTGTGAACCCTGAGTGTTATTTGGGCATTTTGCCAATTGGTTCTGACTTGTGTCATGTCAGGAAATTTTCGTGTTGGGCAAGTGTTTATTTGGTCATATTCTTGAGGGACTTGTGACAGTTCTGTCTTCTGGAGTTTGAGTATACATTTCATTTGTGTGACTGGTGCCATTGTTGTCTTTTGTAAAATGGGAACTTCAGGGCCAATTCATTAGAAAAAATTAATCATGAAATCATGAATAAATTAAACATTATATGGCAACATTATCCTTTAGACTCCATAGAAAATTGGTTAAGGTGAAGCTCTTTTGAACTTTAAAAACTTACATTTTTTGCATATGCAGTTAGAGAAAGCTAGCTTGACAAAAATACCATTTTCAGAATCTGACCCTTTGAGAACAAAAATATGCCTAAGAGAAAGCTTGAAGTAAACTCTTACCATGTCCTTGAAATACACAACAACCCAGTTTGCTTAAAGCCTCAGCATTGGGTTAATTAGTAGAACTTTAAAAAATACTTGAGTTCATTAAACACACATCTTCTACTACATCAAAGGGAAATTGTGGTATGAGAAAAATGTATGTTTTTAGAGGCTATGGAATATGTTCTTAAGTTTACCAATGAGAAAATGCTGATATAACAGTTATTTGTTTCGTGGTTTTGTTAGGGTTCTTTAAAAGTTAAAAATTAGAATATGTAATTAAACCTACTTAAATCATAGGGGAAACATTTCAATATGTTAAGCAAGTAGGATATGTGTTACCAGTGAGAGAAAGTATAAAAACTGGCGATATTTTTGTTGAGGAAAGAAAAGGAGAATGATTTTGTCCTAGAGCTGGTTGCTTATGTATGAAGATAATAAGGGACAAATTAATTTGGATCCAGAAAGTGGGAAAAGGTCTGTGAAAAATGACATTTGAGAAAAGAACTTTGTACATTATCAGGATTAAGGCTAGATTGAATTTAATTAGATGAATGAAAGTTTTGTTAATAGTAAGCTGGTACAAGACTTTATTGGTTTCGGAGTGATAAGCAGCTGGGCCTCACTTTTGGGTAACACTGCTGCTAGGTTTGCTGATATCTGACAAAGCCTCGGATTTTTTTTCCCTCCATCTCAAGTTGACTCTGTACTCTGACAGCATAGCAGTTGGCTTTGAGCCAGCCCCAACGTGGTAAAACTACTTTTTAAAATTTGCTTATTAAATCAGTTGTAAAGGAATCTGTCCTTACCTGAAACTGCAAAAGGTTTTTTCAAATATGCTTCTCAATCTATTGTTTGACTTTGGTCAACTTCTAGAACCTTAGAATCTTTTGTTGTTATATTTTAAAAAATAATTTATCCAGGTTTATGCATTTCTTTCTTTTCTTTTTTTCTCTGCAGAGAGTATTCACCAATCTCTTTCCTTTTAAAGTAGGCAGAAATCCATCTTTTCCTAATTTTTTTTTCTGCTTAAGAAATTTTACATTAAAGGGAAGCAAAGAAATGAGACAATACCAGTGGAACACTTTCTTTCTGATGAAAAATATTATATTATGTATTATATTGATAAAAAACACCAACCAGAGAGTAAAAACTTTATGAAAAAAAGTGGTAAAAAGAAGTGTCTAAATGATGTTCCTGGGTAAATGATAAGGACAAAATCTAGTACAAAGATGGAAGGATTGGTTTTAGAAAGGAGGATGAATAGTTCATCTAATTTATACAAGGTAACAAAGAAATCAGCATATATTTGACCCTGTTAATAGACAAGTAAATATGTTCGGGGCACTGGATGTTGTTTTCTGATAATTCAACTTTCTTGATGATGTAGGAAATAAAGTCATCAACAAAGAATAAGAATTTGGAAAGATGTAAGGGAGTGGAAGAAGAGACATAAGAAATGATAATTTGAAAGCACTAAGGGAGTACCTGAGGTCTTTGGTGATACATTTAAAGTAAGAATACAGTACTCAACATGGTTGTATGATCTCCTCTAAGTGTATTGGGCTCATCAATGCAGATGGACAGGAGAGAGAACAGCTGGACTTAAACAGTAGGTGTTGTTTAGTAACAGATAACAAGGAAATGTTGATTGAATAAGAAAATTAATGACTTTCTCTAAGATCAAACTTCCAGAAAATTAAAATGGTGATTTCAAGCAAGGTGCATCTGATTTCACACACTCTACTCTTTCTGCTGAATTTTACCATTTTGGGTCTGTCAAGGCATACCCTTCATAAAGTAGAACTCCAGATTAGGAAATTCTGTTAGAATAACGTGGGGGCTTTCCTGAATGAAGTTATTCTAAAGGGGACATCAGTTTCTGTAGATATGGATGACATAAGTCCTGATGTTTTCAGAGGAGCCCAAGTCATCCATTAAACACTCAGATCAAGCATTTTGTGTATGTCTATTTCTGTCTCTGACAGCACTTCAAGAGAGATTGGGAAGCATTAAATATTCTCATAGATTAGAAACTCCTTGAAGACAAAGATTTCATCTTTTAAGTCCTTACACATAATGGCAAGGGATGCTTAAAGAAATGTAGATCTTTATATATATATATATATNAACTCTGTCCTCTTTGTTCCTAATGGAAATTCTAAGCAATTCTCCTGTCTATCCAAAACAACAGTAGACTTCAGTGCTATTTCAAGGTAAATCTCAGCACTATGTTAGCAATGAGACTGAAACTGGTTTTAGAGTCAGAAGCTCTAGGGAAAAATTGGGCTAGAATTCTAGGACTTCTTTAGTAATATTATATATATATACATACATACATACACATTCATACACACATATATGTATAAATTGTGTGTGTGTGTGTATGTATGTGTGTGTTTGGGAGAAGAAGTAGATCCTTTTTCCTTCCTCAGTCTGGCTAAGAGGACACAAAATCAAAATGAAGGAAATTTTGGAACAGGTATTGATAGAAGAAAGGGCAATTTGACTGATGAAGGAGCAGGTTGGAGTTCTTCGGGAATTCACGATGGAATAGCTCAGGCAGCACTACATAACAGGCCTCAAAGGATTTCTCCAGAGAAATTAGGAAATCATATAGAACCATGATAGCTGAGACACCACCAGAAGTTTGAGGAGGCTTCATAAGTGCTCTGTTTACTAGTCTCAGGGAAGGAAAGAAGCCAAATTAATTCTGAACAAGATCACAGAGGTTGATACAGGTAATAAATTTATCTTAAAATCTTTTTGCATGACCTCTATATACCAAGCTCTGTATAGGATTATTTATGCACATTACTTCATTAAATCTTCATAAAAATTCTGGTGAGGAAAATGACAAAGGCAGATGAGAAGCACCGAGTGTCCAATGTCATGGGTTTGCTGGAAGACAAAGAAAAGAGAAAAAGTAAAATGTAGGTAATGTTATTAACAGTAAAAGAAGAGATACACTGTGAGGGAGGACCTATCCTATAGAAAAAATGAAACAAAAAGTGGATGGAAGAGTAAATGAGAAGTGAATTGGAAGCTAGAGAAAATAATAAGGGTCTGAAAAATCAGGGAGAATGGAAGAGATGAAAACTAAAGATAGAAATGAGATTGTTTAAAAAGGAGAAGATGGGGTAAAACATATTCAGGTAAACAAAAACAGAGTCAAAGACACTTAAAAGAAAGGGGGAAATAAAATCATCAATTTCCATAGAACAGCAGTGCTTCAGCAGGCCCTGGGGACTTAATCAGAGACTATGAAATATTTTATAAGTTTTTCCAAGAAAAATGTCTAATAGGGATGAGCCAACTGATTCTTCTCAAGTAAAAGCCATCACCAATTGCTTGGGAAGAGGGACCAGCCAACTGAAGGGCTCTCACTTAACCTGTGAAGTATAAAAATGTCCCTTCCTCAAAGTGCTCCAAAGGGTTAGCTGGGCAGCATAGAGTGCTTTGTTTAGATCTGAGCATTGTGACTTATTTGGAGAGACGTCTGGATTCTGTTTTCAACACACAGGACAACCTTTGTAAGCAGACTACAGAATCTTTCAAAGAGCCCCGGTGTCAGATCAGAATCTGCAAAATAGCTTCTCTGTAGTATTGTCCCCCAACCACAAACTCTCCTCTCACAGCAGGGAAACAGGAGGAAGAATGAGCCTGGAAGTGGACCTGGACTTGTGTAACTGTCAACACTACCACCACCCATCCCCAACTCTCCCAGAAACACTCATTAATTTTTCTTTCTCCTTTCTCACAATCAGTACCTGGATGATAACAAAGAAACTTTAATTCCTCTCAAAGACCCTTCATTTAAGCTTTTGTGCCCTGTTAGAAAAAGAGATTTTTCTCTAGATCAATGATTTTCAACCCACATGCAGAAAATCAAAGAGTTTGAGAGTTTGTAAAATATCTGAAAAGAATGATATTTAGTCATCCATATTCATTTATTCTTTATTTCATTCCTTCATTCAGTGCATATGGAGAACTAACATATACTTGGCATGTGGTCTTTTACAGATTTATTTATTTATTTATTTTTGCTTGCACTGGGTCTTCGTTGCTGCTTGCAGGTTTTCCCTAGTTACAGTGAGCAGAGGCTGCTCTCTAGTTATGGTGTTTAGGCTTCTCATTGCAGTGACTTCTCTTATTGTGGATCACTGGCTCTAGGCACATGGGATCAGTAGTTGGTCCTACTTTACGCAACCCCCTGGACTGTATATAGTACAGGCTCAATAGTTGTGGTGCACAGGCTAAGCTTCTCTATGGCATGTGGGATCTTTTGGGATCAGGGATCAAACCTGTTTCTCCTGCATTGGCAGGTGGATTCTTTACCACTGAGCCCCCAGGGAAGTCCAGCACATGATCTTTTAGGTGGTAAACAGAGTCCTTTCCTTCAGGAAGTTTAATTCTAGTAGGAGAGATAAACACTAAAGAAGTATTTGTGCAGTGTTTAATTAACTGTACTTATTTATAAGAAGAATATGAAAACTATGTTCTGAGGAGTCTTTAATGCTTATAAGAAGTGGAAAAGGCTTATTTGAGAAGGACTACTATTTGGGCTTCCCTGGTGGCTGAGAGGGTAAGCGTCTCCCTGCAATGCGGAATACCCAGGTTGGATCCCTGGGTTGGGAAGATCCCCTGGAGAAGGAAATGGCAACCCTCTCCAGTATTCTTGCCTGGAGAATCCCATGGCCAGAGGAGCGTGGTGAGCTACAGTCCACGGGGTTGCAAAGATTCGGACATGACTGAGTGACTTCACTTTCTTTCCTTTTTCCATTTGAGGATAGATAGGCTTTGATTAGGCAAAGAGGAACTTTATAGAAGGTGGAGGAAGGCACAAGAAACAGGAAGGAACATATATGAAATCCCATATCCGGAAGTTTCTTAGTGAGATCCAGGAACTTAGAGACTGCAAATTTGACTGGATTGAAGAGACCAAAATGGGGGGGAAATGGTGTGAATTGGCACTGGAGAGGTAGACATGGGCTGAATTGTGCTGTCATTGAAGGACATGATAAAGATGTAGGACTCTGTTCTAAGTACAATAGAAGCTCTTGAGGGACCTTTTGCTTTTGGTGAATAAATAATTTTCTAAATATTTCAAAGTGCATTCCGACTGCAGAAAGGAATTTTTGAAAGGGGGCATTCATGGGTGGAGGACGATAAGTTAGGGCACCTGGAAGAAATGAACTGTGCTATTTTTGATTACACAAAAGGAAGAAAGGTAATAATGATTTTGTATGTTTAGGAGACAAATTTGCAATTCATTAAGTGTTGGTTTAATGAAAGAAGAGGTTTTAAGAATGGCCTCAGGTTTTTGGAGTGTTAGAAGACTCTCAAAATAAAGATTTTGTGAATGGCTACTCTCATATCATATGTGTGGTTGTTTCTGGGTCAACAGCATTTATTCTTTATCCCTTGATATTTTAAAATGAGGCTATGGAAAGTTATAAGTTAAAACTTGTGAACATTCATTTGAACAGTTATATTCACTAATGTGTCTATTTACAAATGTATGTGTGTGCTCAGTAGTTCAGTCCTGTCTGACTCTTTGTGACCCCGGGAATGAACTCCACCAGGCTCCTCTGTCCATAGAATTTTTCAGGCAAGAATACTGGAGTAGTTTGCCATTTCCTACTCTGGGGCATCTTCCTGACCAAGGAATTGAACCCAAATTGGCAGGAAGATTCTTTACTGCTTAGTCACCATTATAAAAACAGTGAAATAGATGCTTAGGCACGTGTAAGAATATATACACACATATATATGTGTGGGTAAGATAATATATGCATATGTACACACATATATACATGCATACACATGGATTTATATAGATGAGGGATGTAGGTTTGGATGGTGATGAAATTTTGTGTAGCTGTGTTTGTATTGATGATACTGTGAGTTCTGTTCTTCGATTATTTAGCAAAATTCTCAATGCTATTAAGTCCTTGGATGTTGCTGCTTCTTTTTTGCCAAATATTCAGTGCTGTTAAAGGAAGGTATCAAAATTTTCTTTTGTCTAAATACTAGTTGTTTCATCTTATCTCCCTTTTTAAGAAAAGCAAATTCAAGGGAATAGAAGTCATTGCATGTAATTGTCTAAGAAGCAAAAAGATGCAAAAACCTCTCACTGATTTAAACATAGTTTTCCCCTCTGTTGTTCCACTTCTATATCCATAAAGCCATTTACCTATCTTAAAAGCTTTTCTCAATTTAGGAGCTGGAAGCCAGGTGGGAGAGTCCAGCCTCAATCAGTGGTAAGAACACCATGATGAACTCTAGCGGATCACTTGTCAACCACCATAGCTTCATTTTGACAGGTATCCCAGGAATGCCAGATAAAAACCCGTGGATGGCTTTTCCCCTGGGATTTCTCTACACCCTGACTCTCCTGGGAAACGGTACCATACTAGCCACCATCAAGGTAGATCAGAACCTCCATGAGCCTTTGTACTACTTCCTTTCTATGTTGGCTCTGACTGATGTTGGTCTGTCCATGTCCACCCTGCCTTCCATGCTCAGCATCTTCTGGTTTAATGCCCCTGAGATTCCTTTTGATGCATGCATCACACAGATGTTCTTCATCCACAGTTTTGGAGTGGTAGAATCAGGAGTATTGGTGTCTATGACCTTCGACAGATTTGTGGCCATCCGAGACCCACTGCACTATGCTTCCATCCTCACCCATGGCATCATTGGCAAGATTGGAATAGCTGTCGTCATCCGGGCAGTCTGTGTGGTCTTCCCTGTGCCCTTTCTTATAAAGCGGCTACCCTTCTGCCATTCCAATGTCTTGTCTCATTCATACTGTCTCCACCAAGATGCAATACGGTTAGCCTGTGCCAGCACTCGTGTCAACAGCCTCTATGGCCTCTTAGTAGTCATCTTCACTTTGGGGTTTGATGCCATCATCATTCTCTTTTCTTATGTGCTCATCCTGAAGACAGTACTGGGTATTGCTTCCAGAGTTGAAAGCCTCAAAGCGCTCAACACCTGCCTCTCCCATATCTGTGCTGTGCTCCTTTTTTATGTTCCCCTCATTGGTGCCACCATGATCCACAGGTTTGGGAAACATCTGTCACCAGTAGTACACACACTCATGGCCAATACCTATCTGTTACTGCCCCCTGTACTAAACCCTGTTGTCTATAGTGTGAAAACCAAGCAGATACGCAGGAGGATAATCCTTGTGTTCCAGAGGCGAAAGAAGAGGGTCTAGGGTAGTGGAATCAAATGTAATATGGAGAATAAGAAGCATTTTGAGCAACTATAATGCAGTCAAATTATACACATCTGGGAAAACTGAAAGTGGACAAGGCTTGTGGGTGAAAGTCTTTCTTGTTCTGTATATGCTCCATTTTGGAATGCATAGTTTTTGATATCTGGTGTCACTTGAAAAATCTAATGTAATTAATATAATTTTTCTTCTCTGAAACTGGAGATGAGCATCAGTGAAGACATAAATCATCACCTGTTTATCCAGGTAACACTTTTGAGTGTTTATTCATATAATGTTAAGTAATACTGCTCTTTAGTTATTAATTAAATAAAAATTAGATAAGGAAAGATTTTAAATGATATATAGCTCTGCTGAAAGTTCTGAGATATTTTTTCTTAATATGGAGAAAGAAAATTGTTCCATAATCAAATAACATTTATTTTGTTGTTTCAGTGTTTATTGGGTAAAGAGTGCCTATGTTAAAATTAAAACAAACACATGTGTGGTTACTTAATATGTGCCTTTTCATTTAGGGGTTATTACTTCTTTACAGTTCTAGCTTTCAGTCACATATTTAGTATAATAGCAGGTGTTCTGCCTTTACTCTTTAAACCCAGCAGGAGTGAACTCTATTTTGCTGTGTACAAAGGACCCAGTGAAACTTTATCAAGTAAAAGTACTGCCATGCTCTGTACAAGGACAAGTGAACACTTAGAGCACTGGCAAGTTTAAGAAAGCAGGGTACCCATGTGTGGGGATGAGTATGTCAAAGGCAATGTGTCTTTGCACTGAAGCTCATACCTGCTGCATGTATTTTGTTAATCATTACACTGTCAAGTTGCTAGAGGGATTACTTATTAAACAGATGTACATTTAACACTAATGAAATGCCAGTCGTGATGCTGGACCCTGCACGTGGGTTCAATCACTCAGTCGTATCCAACTCTTTGTGATCCCATGAACTGTAGTCCACCAGGCTCCTTGGTCCATGGAATTTTCTAGGCAAGAATACTGGA